TCAAACAAAAATACTGAGAGTTTTACCCCACAGTCCACATTGCTAAGTGAGGTGGAGTGATTATTTACTGTCTTCCCCGAGAACATGTTCCTTCTCAAAATTTATGCTAATATAGTGTTTCCTCTTTGTATTTTTCAACCTTTTGCCCTCTTTTAGACTCTATTTCCCTTTTATTAGTGAGAAAAAGAGAAACTTTGCTTTTTTTTCCTCTCCATGGGAGTTCTATTTCATACAGGTGTAGGTCCCTGTGCCATTTGGCACCTAAGCCAGAGGTCCCCCTTGTAGGGATGCTGAGAGACACCTGTGCGTTGAGGAGTCGGTGACCCACCTAACGCAGCTCACGGGAGTAGGCCCAGGCCTGCGCTGTGCTGCGCTGCACATACAGCTTGGGCTGCATGGATCCCTCGGCTGCAGGGTAAATTTAGCCAGCTAATTGTAAGGGAGAGGTCTGCAGGGAGCTCCCTTGCAATGCTGGTGATCAGCTACATATCCTTGCCCTTATCTGAAACCGCAGCAACAAATTCTCATGTTAACATTCTTCCTATCTGACAGTAGAACTGATATATAGAATTGATTTGTTTTTTGAAAATCCTCAAAAGTGCTTGAATGACTCTCAATGGGGTAATGTTTCCACAGTCAGGATCTGCACAGAAAGCTCTGCCCTGAATGGAGCCCTGTTTGATACCACACAACTTAGGGTTAGCAGCATCTGAAGGGATGGAAGACTATCTTTACTATCCTCTTCTTCTATATAGTGATAGCTCTAAGAAATGGCATTTTAGGCAATACTTGACAGAGAAAAACAAGAGCCTGACTGCCTTTTTTGCTGGCATTCTAATGGACTAGCACCTCCTGGTTCAAAACACCCTTCAGGAATTCAAGGAGGTCATTTTCAAACCCAGGCATATGCAACACGTCTGCGGCTGCACCTATGCTAGCCACCTTGCTTCTTCCACACAGGTGATGTCAGCTCTACTGCAGACACGCAGAAAAACAGTGTCACCTTTTACATCACTGTACAATGAGACCTCACTGCTCTAGGCAGTTTCTGATGAGGCTCATCCAGATGCTGAAGCGAGTCTACTGGTGTCCTGGTTTCAGCTGGGATAGAGTTAACTGTCTTCCTAGTAGCTGGTACAGTGCTATGTTTTGAGTTCAGTATGTGAAGAATGTTGATAACACTGATGTTTTCAGTTGTTGCTCAGTAGTGTTTAGACTATAGTCAAGGATTTTTTCAGCTTCTCATGCCCAGCCAGGGCACCTGACCCAAACTGGCCAACAGTGTATTCCATACCATGCAACGTCCCATCTAGTTTAGGAACTGGGAAGGGGGGGGCAGGGAATCGCCACTCGGGGACTAGCGGGGGTGTCGGTTGGCGGGTGGTGAGCAATTGCCCTGCGCATCATTTGTACATTCCAATCCTTTTATTACTACTGTTGTCATTTTATTAGTGTTATCATTATCATTATTAGTTTCTTCTTTTCTGTTCTATTAAACTGTTCTTATCTCAACCCAGGAGTTTTACTTCTTTTCCCGATTTTCTCCCCCATCCCACTGGATGGGGGGGAGTGAGTGAGCGGCTGCGTGGTGCTTAGTTGCTGGCTGGGGTTAAACCACGACAACTGGACTTCCCACTTCAAGCAGAGCAAAAAGTTCCCAAAAGGAAGCATAATGACAAATAACCTCAGCCCTCTTCTGTCTCACCTCTAGTCACACCGTGTTGGGCTGCAGAACCAAAGTTGCACTTGGCTTCTCCTTCCCTCCCTCCTTCCCTCCTACCTCTACCATCCAGCTCCTTTTCAATCATCCTAAATCTACCACAGAAATGGATGCCTCCTTCCAAGACGGGACCAATACAGTTCACATTTCTGGTGGACCTCATTATTATGCTGAAACCACTAGTCGACCCTCCTGACCATCCCATGGATGCTGTTTGTCACTATAGGCCTAAAGCCCAACCTTGTCAGTTTTGCAGAGGTTTTTCCTGTTCACTGAGGAATTCCACAGGATACTCCTCTGCTGGTCTCCAAGCACAAGTCCCTTGCCTGTCCCAGAATTTATGCCTTGTCTTGCACTCTAGTTGTTCTCCTTTAAGGACAAGCCTGAGATTGTAAATTTTCAGGTGGTGATAATGGGCCCATTGGGCTGCAGATACCTGACCAGGAGGTGCAGGTTCCCCCACTGATTACAAAAATGTCACAGAAGTGTTCAGATACAGCAGAGAGAGCAGCCCTGCAGTTGACACCTGCTGAGAATGCAAAAACATGTGCCTCCACATTATTTACAAAGGACTGAAGTCACACTCTATGCAAATTAACATATGGACCAAAGCTGAAAGGTTATTTTGCACGAAATGTTAGCAACTTCTCAGAAAGACATATATACAGATACATATAGAACAAGCCTTTCATCCTGGTCCTTACAGTAACCGATGATACTTTTCTGCTGTGAACTGTTCACTTCACGAAACGCCTAAAGTTTTCCATTGTTTTATGAAATAACCTCAGTTGTAAAAATAATTTTAGAACTGTAGAGTGGCAAACTTCGCTGTTTTTGAAAGCAAATGCTTTTCTAAATATATACTTTAGAAAAAACATCCTTACTTGTACTTTTGAGTTAATAATCCAAAATATTGTAATTAAGTACTTCTTAACACTTTTACCTATTTTTTCAGTCATTTTCTAAAATTACCAACATTTCAGTCATTTCATGAAACGACCAATTTCACAATATGCAAGTACACACACAAAACCACAAATATCTGTTCATTTTGTGAGCTACCACACACTTGCATGACAACGCAACATGGTTCTGTATCATTGACTGGATAGAATCGAGTGCCTTAGCTTCAAGAATCCTTTCTGAATACAGTATTTTAGGTATATCAAAATCATCAGCAGTTCATTACAAGAGAAGGCAGGGCTGCACTGGGATCGAAAACAGCGGGCAGTGTGCGTGTCTGGTCATAGGCCAGGTGACAGTGACCAGCGGTGTGGCAAATGCATGCTTTTTTTTTAGTACAGATCTGAATTCTCCTCTCAGGAGAGACACCTAGAAAGAAGTGGGAAGAAGAGATCTGAAAAAAAAAGATGTATTCAATAGGGTTAAATGCAAGACCGTAGTAAGAGGCAGCCTCTTTGTGCTTGCAAATCTGAAGGGACTTGTGCTTGCCTGAGAAGAACACAGTAAAACCAATAGAGGGCTAAGGGCATAGAAGGGAACATGAGGAGATGGTGGCCGTTTCCAGCATTTCCACAGCTGTTTTTTTTTGTGTGTGTGGTATTGCACAAGTAACTCAAATCTTCATTAAACAAAATCATGAACCACACATTATTAGTTCCCTTTTAAAGGAATGGGAGCTGGAATGACAAAGTTAAAGCATAGCTTTAAGTGCTTTCTAAAACACTGCTTAATATTCAGAGGTGTTGAAAATTCAAAGCTGCTTAAAATATTTTTTTTTTTTTTTTTTAATTATTTTGCAGTATGAATAAACACAAGAGCTCAGGAGCTGTTTTCTGGACATCAGAGCATGTGGCATGGCATGTCTTGTCCATACAGCTGAAGTCTCTTTCCCTACAGCCACGGGAAGAGTCCCCGGCCCATTCTGGCCCATGAATTTGCCAGGTGTTATATGGGATAGTGGATAAGTATATGTAAGAGATTCTTAAAGATCAATATCTTAACGTGATAATGCTCTGACTTCCTCATCCTATCCAAATAACACAATTACCTAGCTTTTTGCCAAGGTTCTATTACTAACTTGATTCTGTCTTGTATTTCAGCACTGAGAGAAAATTAGGCAAGTACTGAGCTATAAATGATGACAACCAATGAAGCTTAATACCTCTCTCCCTGCTTTAACTAGCATGTTATTCTCTCTTAGTGTTTTACTGTTTTCTTGGAATTAAGAAGGAATCACAGCAAGCAGAGTGGCTCCAACCTACTGCTCGGTTTCAGGTCTGTTAGCACAAGCCGTTTCATCTCAGATTTTCCCAGTGCTTGTTCTGGTTGTGGCAAAAGGCAGGAGCAAGAGTAATTCCATCTGTATGTACATGTGCGTGAGAAGCAAATCCTGGAGCGTAACAGCATCAGCAGTCCCATGTGGGTCTTAAGACACTGCAGAGCTTGTTTTCAGTTCACCATAAGAAGGCACAGAGAGCAGTCATGGATAGCAAGACTCTAATCTCCCTCCTGATTCTCTCTTTTATGGGCAACCTTCCTGGTAAGAAAATTCAATTTATTTTCCTTTGTACTACAATTCTTTTGCAATGTGGTTTAGCTACACAGAATGTTTTCAAGGTGTGTCGCACTTCCATACTTACGCTGTCTTTGAGGTAGCAGGTCAAGAAAAACATATTCATGGACTGTCATAGTGGGCCTATTTCTTGTCTCCTATTATTCTTCAGCTAGTGGAGATTCACTGACATTGGTGAACTTGTCCCTTAAATATTCTGAGAAAAATGAGATTACAACCGGGCCCTCAGAAGTGATAGCCTGCAATAACTGTGTGGCATATTGCATCGCTAACACTTTTCATGCTGCTTGTATGGTAACAGACCCTGAGATGAAAGCTTGGAATATTCAAATTAGTTTGAATCAATCTATTTCTAACCAACAGCCATCTCTTAGAGCTCTTTCCTGAGAAACATGAGGGTGAAAAAAAACCAGACTCTGCTGGGAAAGTCCAAAAAGTATTTTGTGGGCAGCAAGTATGCCAAGTTCAGGGGTCTGGCATGCTTCCAAGCCTCAGTCCCATGTGGATGCTTGCTCCTACTGCGTCCTGGCTTCACGTTGGGATGACACACATGTGCAGCCTCTCCTGAGCCAGAACAGAGCTGGATATGGCCAACCTCCACACTGGAGAACTGGCTAACAGGGCGACTGTATCATAACACACACCTGCAGTGAAGCCCTGGCACAGCCTTTGGGAATCTCACTTTCTTCTCTTGAGCCTGCAGATGGGATGTTGCTTCTCTGCTGTGATACTCTATGCTTCGCAATGCTTGACTTGCAAGTGCGTTTTTTCTGCTTTCTGCCAGGTAGGTAGGGAGGTGTTGGTCAGCCAAAAGAAGCACCGGCAGATTCAGCTGGGCAGATAAGTGAAGAAGGGAAACAGGTGGATGATCATATCAAGGTAGAAGAACTAGCACAGGGTGAGGTAAAGGGGTTTGCTGTTTGGTCTTAAGGGATGTCAAGTCTACCCACAGCAAGAGAGGACTGAACAACTGACTGGGATTTTGGCTCCTGCAGCCCTACTCATCTCAGTAAGAGTGTCCGTGTGCCCCACATCCATTTATCTGGACCTTGTCTTTGCTTCTTGACACTGCCTTCAAAGTACTGAATCTCCTTTTTCAAATATCTTCAACAGTTCAACTGTCAGGGATTTCAAGCTGAAGATGCAGCTTCCCTTAGTAGGAAAAATGGACAAATGTGAGAGTTGTGATTGTCCATTTTAAACTGTGATATTTGACATGAAAACAGGAAGATAGCCCAGTGTCTGCAGTGGTGGAGATGGGAAAGCCCTAGGCTTCACGGCTTGCGATCTTGGATAACTTAGACCACCCCTCTGGCGCTCTGTGCTCAATCCCCAAAGCTAGGATAACTTTTTTTTTTTGCTTCACTAGGGCAACGTGGGTCTGGAAGGACTGTCAGGCAACACCAAGTTCAGTCCATGGGCTTGGGTGCTATACAATGTGTGGCATAATTTAATCAAACTCCATCCCAAAGCTTGCTGGGTTTCTTGCTTCTTGCACTTACCCAGAGTTGCTTCCTCAGAGGCCCCCACACCTTTCCCAGCATCTTGATTAAGCTTCTAAGCAGAATATTTTCGTGGCTTTTTCACACCAGGTACCAGTGTAGAATTTTAGCCCAAACAGGTTTCACCTCCAGGCTGTATTCATGGGGAGTAGCCATCTGCCTGTTCAGCTAGCTTTTTCCTCCTCTCATAAGACAGGAGTCCCACACTTCAGTAGCCTTTTGTTGCACTTGATGTTGTGGGGTGCCAAAATAATTGTAGTGGTAATGGGAACTTATAAATTGTTAACTGTACAAAGTCTGCAGATCTCAAATGCCCTGTTCTTCTCAGTGAAGGTACTACCTTAAACCCAAGAATAGCAATCCATTTATACCTTGAGGCATGAACTTTTTATCCCTTCTGCTTTCTCTAATTAATATTTTCATTGTTAGTTTGGTTCAGTTGCAGACATTATAAGCTTCCCTTTCCTTTCCTCACAGAGATGATGCTGGCAGCGGAGCTGCGGTGTCACTGCATCCAGACCGTCACAGGATTAATGTTGCCAAAGCGCCTGGCCAACGTAGAAATCATTCCTAAGGGCCCACACTGCAACGCTGTGGAAATCATGTAAGTAAAGTCAGCAGGCAAGAGAAGTCATGGTTTACAAATGCTGAAGACTTGGCAGCCCTTAAGCTTATAGTCCTCAGCCTTGTCTGCATCCTCCTCTGACCTCCTCAGGTGCCAATATTAACTAAAGTGAAATGTTCATTCCACTGCAGAGCAACGCTGAAGAACAGCCAGCAAATCTGTTTAGATCCCCAGGCCAAATGGGTGAAGATGATAATTAACAGGATTCTACACAGGTAACTGCCAGGATTACCTAGTAACTGGAATTATTCCACCAAAGGGCATATTTTCTCCAGTATAAACATCAACACGTGTGCAATCTTCAGCGCTCGTTCTCTGAGACCCATTTGAGTAGTGCAGGGCTAGGAATACAGGAGGACTAGATTTAGTTGATCTTTGGACAAGGCAGAAGCAAGGCCTACCTGACATATCTCAGTAATTTAAAACAAACTAACTGTTACATGTCATACTTTTCAAACAAGTATATCGATCCAGGGTTCCTCAGGGTTGTGTTCAGCTCCAAATTACCAAGGACAATGTTTGGGCTTTCTGGAGGGAGAGTCTTGGAAGCAATACAGAAGTGTTGTTCAGCACTGCCCTGCGCCAGCTGGTCTGCCCAAGAGACAAGATGATCATTATGACAAGTTTCTCTTGTGTCTGTGGGTGCGTGCATCCCCTCGGAGATACATTACACACAACAGCTATCCAGGCAAACTTATTCTAGAATAGTTTCAAGTGACTTCCCCCTGGTGCAAATTAAACAAACATTAAACAAACAAAAGAAACAAAAAAGAAAATAATTATTTTATTTTCCACTAAAAGTGAATCCAGTTTTGTCTGGTTTCGATGTTTGTAAATTAATACCACTGCTTTGTGCCTGCTGTAATTCATTACAATATCTGTATTACAGTGCATCCAAGAAACGGCGTCAGTAAAGGAAACAGAGGCAACTCTGCAAGCAAGAGAAAACTGCATAGAAATGCCATTAGCCTTTAAGTGTCTCCAGGGTCACAGTATTCATAATTTCACTCTAGCTTTTTCTATCCTCACTGCCCTCCATGCACAGACTGTTCATCTGCAAAAGGAAAATGCTGGGCTGAATAGGCTGTCACAACACTAGCAGACTCTCGTATTTTATGGCAAAATTTTACATAGTGCTTAATTGCAGAGGCATTTAAAGCAATATCCTAACCAAACCCTAACCTTGCATTGGTCAGCTGGAAACACCTGCACAGGTTTACCAACACCAAGGATTCGGCATTCACTGAACTGGTATTTATACCAAATAATCTCTAAGCTTCATTTTGAGGGACTATGAAGTACAGTTTTGTCTAGTTTAAGAGGGCTGTAGTTTTCAAAGTAAAGAAGTATTAATCAAAGGAGATTCTTACAGAAAGAAAAAAAATTAAAAGGGAAAAGAAAGGGGAAAAAGGAATTTCTTGATATCAATAAAAACCTTGCTTAGACACAATATGGTCAGTGAGGTGAAGCAAATGCTGTAAGATTTCAGTGTTTAAAAACCGTCTTTCTGGTCTTATGCATATTAAATATACCTCTAACATTAAAACGGCAGAGTCACAGTAGTTCTGCTTTTGTCACCAAGCTATCAATGTCACAAGGACTCTTCCATAAAAAAGGTTTTTAGAAGCCGTCAATTCAACTTTTCATAAATGAAATGTGAAGAAAATGTGTGTGAAATATAATTTAATGTTTTCAATATGCTTGCTCAGAGTTTTGCCACCTGCAAACTATTGTTAGGGTTTATTCATAGTGCACCAGGGGCTGAAAAGTAATAAATAAAAGCTTACAGTAAATACAGGAAGACTGTAGGTAATTTTCTCATTCGCTATGTCTGTTTTTACAAGACAATAAACAAGATTTTAAATTTATTTTCAGTAATGACGGTTTTGCTAAAATACATTTCCTTTTCCCTTTAAGTAACGTATTTGAATACGATCCTGTTTTCAAAATTAAAAGCACCCGTTACCCACCTGAACACAGGTGCATTTCTGGTTCTCATGTATGCAAGAGATCATGACATCATCATTGAATACTAACACTGTAGGTCTCCAAACACATTTGAGAGATGATGTCTCAGCTGTGTAGCATGAGATGCTATTTAAGGACCACCTGACTACTTAATAAATTAAAGAACAAACCAAACAAAATGAAACCAAACCAGATTTGCCATGAAGACCTTACAGATAACTGAAAAAGTAAGTATCTTCTGCAAGAAGAATTTTCTTCCACCAAATATATCGAAAAAGAAGCTGATCTAGTCAATTAATTAGAAACAAACCCACTGATCTTTTTATCAATGTTTGGATTAGAAGTATATTTCTTTCAGTTCTAACTGAAATAAGGTAGCTTTTTTGATAAGTTTACTTTGCCAAGAGCACACTCATACCAAGATGGTACTGGGAGTGCATATGCACATTACAGTAGGAGATGGTAATGAAAAACATCTGATAAATGCAGTTTTGATCTCTATGGTAAACCCCAAATTGCTATCTCAGATTCAAATTTTTGTCTCTGCAGACAGCCAGTGACTGCACTGACACAGATGACTATTAATACAACATAAATATGATGCAGAGAAACAGCAAGTGAATCTCCTTCCAAGCCTCTAGGGAACAAAAATGCACCTGCTAGCCAAATGTCACTGCCCCTCTCGGGGGCATCATCTTAAAAAGATTTAAGGTTCCTGCCCTCACATCTGCCATTGCAAAAACTCTTGCAGAAACATTACTCCTCAAATACTTAAAAAGTTCTTCTAACTTCCAATCTACCTTTGCCCAGAATTAATTCAACTCTCTCAATGTTTTTCCACTGCAGTCCCTCTGCATGAATAGGTCTTTCCTTCCTTCCCCAATAATGTCTCTGTAAAAAGCCCCTATAGTCCTTTTTGACAGCATAAAACTTTTCTGTCATTGCAGAGTATAAATAATTCGGTCTTCTAATCATTGTCATAGTTGTTCTCTTCTTTGATTCAAGCTAATCTTTCCCAAACATAAATAATAATCTTTCAGGTAAGATATTGCCAAGAAATGATGAAACTTAATTTCAAAACCAGGGATTGTTATGGTTGCTTGCATGGCAGTTTAACTGCACTGTAGGTGGGTGTTCAGACGTAAAAGTGGATTTCAGCAGAGGCAATATCGACGGCGCGTTTATCATCAGGCCGGCATCGTATTACAAGTAAGAATAGGCACAAGCTGAACCACCCTAACAGTTCTGAAGTACAATGAAGTTTCAGATGACATGGGAGGTGATCTGTCTAACTATGGGAGGAGGGGAGGAGGAGGAAGGACATCTGTATAGTAGAACAAGATAAAGTTCAGATGAAAACAAGAAAGAGAATAAGAGTTATAGGATGAGAAACAAGTAAGCAGAATAGGTCTTTCTAGCCTGGAAAAGAGATGACAGAGGGAACATGACAAAATTCTGTAATGCTGTAAATGGCATGCTTAAGGAGAACAAGGAATAATCGCTCACTGATTCCAATCTAAAAGAAAAACAGGGCAAAAAATGAAGGTAGCAGGTGGCAGGTTCAGCAGAAAATCAAGGAATGTGATCTTCTTACAACAAATAGTTAAACTGTGGGATTCTTTACTATACCTATTTGTGGATATTGAATGCTTCCAGGAGTTCAGGCAGTGAGTAGACAAATTAATGAGGGAAAATCCTGTAAGGCCCATCCAACACAAAGATGCTGTCTTTGGCTCAAGTTCCTCAACTTCAAATTCCTAGCATCTGGAAAAATATAGAGGAAAAGTAATAGCAGGAAGTATCTATATGTTTTTGCTATGCTTCCCCAAGCATTCTTTATTGGTCACTATGAGCATCAAGATACTGTTCTAGATGAACCTGTAATGAGACGTGGAGCAGCTGTTGTTAACGCTCTTTTGTCCTAAGGCCCTGAAATGTCATGGCCTTTCCAGGATACAAAATAAGACCTCTGTGGGCTTGTGTTTTGTGAGCAGCTGAAGAAATCTCCCCTATTGTCCTGGTTTCAGCTGGGATAGAGTTAACTGTCTTCCTAGTAGCTGGTACAGTGCTATGTTTTGAGTTCAGTATGTGAAGAATGTTGATAACACTGATGTTTTCAGTTGTTGCTCAGTAGTGTTTAGACTAGAGTCAAGGATTTTTCAGCTTCTCATGCCCAGCCAGGGCACCTGACCCAAACTGGCCAACAGTGTATTCCATACCATGTGACATCCCATCTAGTTTAGCAACTGGGAAGGGGCGGGGTGGGGAATCGCCGCTCAGGGACTGGCTGGGTGTCAGTCAGCGGGGGGTGAGCAATTGCCCTGCGCATCATTTGTACATTCCAATCCTTTTATTACTACTGTTGTCATTTTATTAGTGTTATCATTATCATTATTAGTTTCTTCTTTTCTGTTCTATTAAACTGTTCTTATCTCAACCCAGGAGTTTTACTTCTTTTCCCGATTTTCTCCCCCATCCCACTGGATGGGGGGGAGTGAGTGAGCGGCTGCGTGGTGCTTAGTTGCTGGCTGGGGTTAAACCACGACACCTATACACCAAATTAAATGGAGGCAGCACTAAAACAGAGCAGTTTGTTTCACAAAGCGTGCTGAGTCAATCTTCTGATCCTCATGCTGCTGATTTCATATCCTACAGGAATAGCAATGTCAGCATGAAAAAAAGGAAACTGTCATTTCCACTGTCGAAGGATGATTTAGAAACTTCACAGCATGACAAGGAAGAGTAACTACAGTCTTGAAAGATTACACCATCACTGCATATCAGAACCATATTAGAACTGGTGCTTGAATTGGTCATGTCCAGTAAACTACAGAAAACTTACACTTTCAGAAACCTCTTCCACTGATTTGAATTGGGTTTCCTCGTTCCTGGAACCACCACCCAATTTAATATGATTTATCTGATTAACATGCGCACTTATCAGTGTTAATTTATCAGTGAATGAGGACTCAGCACTTGATGACCTGTTGCTTTGCCCTCCCTTCCCGGGAGTCAGTGAAGAGGGCTTTCCCCAGGCAGTTATATTGTGCTTGCAGTAGTAGCAGACAGGAGATATCTAATTAAAGGTCAGTCCCTTTAAACACAAAAAATTCAGGTGATAAAAGCATCACAGGTAGACTTTCTTCTCTTTTTAGTCAATTTTGAAGTGATTTGAAAAAATAGTTTTGTCACTGTATGCTTGCACTGACATTTAAAAACATTCTTCTCCATCTTGGGTGGGGGAGGAAATA